TGAGTCACAGAGGCAGGACTTCATGAAGCCTGTCTTCCCCTGGCCCCTTCCTATCTCCCTTAGCTTCGAGGCACCCTTCATGTGAGCGAACATTTGATTAACACAGACTAAATAGGGAGAGAACAGAGCACATCTATCCACAGAGTTCTAGGTACTAACCAGTGACCAGGTCTTACTCATATAGCAAATTCCACAAAGCCTGGGCCTATTAGACTTTGTGTGATACATGTGGCCAGGCACATTCATCAGCTTTACTGAAAGCAGAGTAGGGGCCCAGAGAGGTAGTTTTGGAGAACAGAAGGGGACAAATTTGTCAAAGTGGTGACAGGAGGCTGGTGTAGGCTGGAAAGGGCATAAGGAGAGCTAGTCCAGTCATAGGTGGTGGGAACAGATTTCATCAACTGAGAATTACCATGGAGTATTGATAGGTCTGCATCTGAGGCCAGCTCATAAGCAAATTCTGGAACCACCTGTCTGTGGTATCCTAGAACTCTGAAGTTCCATGGTTATGCATGATACCTGAGCTGGCTAGCTTTATTCAACTTTTCACAAGCTAGAGTTATCTGAAAAGAGGGAAACTAATCGAGAAAATGCCTCCAGAAGATCCAGTTGTAAGGCATTTACATGGGGGAGGGCCCAGCCCATTGTAGGTGGGGCCATCCCTGGGATGGTGGTCCTGGGTTCTACAAGAAAGCAGGCTGAGCAAGCCAGTAAGCAGCATCTCTCCATGGCCTCTGCATCAGCTCTTGCCTCTTGGTTTCTCCTGTCCTGGCTTCCTTCAATGATGAACAGTGATATGGAAGTGTAAGTCAAATAACCCCTTTTCCTCCCAAAGTTGCTTTGGTTGTGGTGTTTTTATCACAGAAACAGTAACTTTAGCTAAGACAGTATCCAAAATGGCTTCCTTCTGGGGGTGATTTATACCCATGAGGTCTTTAAAGTAAAGGCAGGATTTCAGTGTTGTGGCTGCTCCTCCACCCCAACTGACTAAGAGTGATGGTTTGAATGAGAAATACTCCCCATACTCGTGTGTTTGAACACTTGTTCCCCAGTTGCTGGTACCATTTGGGAAGCTTATGGAGCCTTTAGGAGATGCACCTTGCTGGAGGAAATAGCTCCCCGGGGCAGACTTTGAGGGGTTACAACCTCATCTGACTTCCTGTTCTCTTTATCTGCTTCTTCTCTGTGGATGAAAGGTGATCTTTGCTTCCTGTTCCTGCCACCATGCTGTACTTTCCCTGCCACAATGGAATCTTATCCCCAGGAACCATAACCTAGAATAAACCCTTTCTTCTTTAAGTTGCTTTTGGTCACAGTATTTTATCAGAGCAACTAATACACTTTGGAAATGCCCTTCACTCATCTCAGAAGGTACAATCTGGGGAGTGTCAAGAGGGTGAGAGGATCTGTCTAGACCACAGAATACAAAGCTAAGTGTGGCCAGCAGAGGCCCCTGATATGCCAAGAATGAAACTGGCTGCTGTGAAGACAGTCACGGCAGACACCAGAAATTTGCCTGGTGCACTTAGCAATAGCATCAGACGCAGGAGAGACAAGTCCAGCTAGCCCCCATCCCTGCATGTATGAAGCTAGCACTCTCTGGATTCTGAGGATCGAGAAGGAAGATGCTCCTGTGATTCATATTTTGCTTGTATTTTTTTTCTTTTGTCTTCTGCCATGCGATTCCCTTTTCTCCCTACATGTTAAACAAGACTTTCTTTTGTAGTGTGTTTTAAATGTTTATGTTTTAATTTGTTTCTTATGTTCATATATTCATCTAATTTGTTCAGATATTTTTCCATTTAGGGATAATATTTTTCCTTCTTCCTTGTTTTTTTCTTCTTCTTTTTGACCCTATGACTTCTCCCTCCTACATTTGAGCTATTTTTGCTTTGTTTGAAAGATAGTACTCTTCAATAGTATTACCCAGCTGTGAGCTGCAATAACTGGGGTAGGAAGATATGCCCATGGTTACAATAGTGGCAAAAATATGCTGGAAATAACCAGCTTTTGGGACATAACTAATGCAGTTCTAACATCATAGTTTATAGCGATTAATGCTTACATTAGAGAATAGGAAAAATTCAAATACACTGCAGAACAATTCACTTTGAGGTCTTAGGAAAACAATCTAAACCCAGAGTGGTAGAGAGCAAGAATCAGTTACATTCAGGGCTGAAATCAATGAAATAGACTTTGAAAAAAAAGATAAGAAAAATGTTTATTTTTAAAAAATTAACATACATACATTCATACATAAAAGTGGTGGTAGCAGGGAGAATGTGCTGAGGTTAACAAACTTAGAGATGAAAAAGGAGGAGATGCCCATAGGATTCCAATGAATCCAATGAGTTCTCCAGGGAGTATTTTGAAAACGTATTTCCCTAAAATGAAACAAGGGATAAATTCTCTAATACATATGACCTACCAAAATTAAATAAAAATATAAACAAGATCCTTAATAGCTATTGAGATAGAAATAGCAACAAAAAGACTTCCAACAAGGGAAAATTCAGAATCAGGTGGATTCACTGCTGAATTCTACCAAATCAGTAAAGATAACACCATCGCTGCTCAAACTGCTCCATAAAGCAGACAGGGAGGGAACTCTGCCACTCTCATTTCACAAAGCCAGTGTCTTAGTCAGGGTTTCTATTGCTGTGATGAAACACCATGACCGTAGTAGGCTGGGGAGGAAAAAATTTATTGGGCTTACACTCCATAGCATTCATGTTCATCATCATCAGAAATCATTATAAGAGCTCAAAACAGGGCAGGAACCTGGGGCCAGGGGGAATGAGTACTGTTACTGACTTGCTGCTCCTGGCTTGCTCAGCCTGATTTGTTATAGAACCTGCAGCTATCAGCCAGGGGTGGCACCTCCCACAATAGGCTGGGCCTTTCCCCATTAACCACTAATTAAGAAAATGCCTTACAGGCTTATCTGCTTACAGCCCAATCTTATGAAGGCATTTTCTCAATTGAGGCTTACTTCTCTCAGATGATGCTAGCTTGTGTCAAGTTGACATAAAACTAGCCAGCACAGCCAGTATCACTCTGATAATGAAAACTGAAGAAGGACACAACACAGAGAAAAATCTATAGTATAATTTACCTAATGAATATAGATGAAAATATTCTAAATGGAAATCTTACAAACTGAGTTAAAGAACACATTTAGAAGATCATATGCCAGGAATGCAAGGATGGTTTAATAGACACAAATTATTGAGTGTAATTCAGCACATTAAGACTTAAGGACAAACAAACAAAACAAAACAAAAAAAGACTTAAAGACAGAAAGAACATATCTCAATTGAAGCCAAAAAGCATTTGACAAAGTTCAACATCATAATAAAAGCTCATGATAATGAAAGGGTTAGACTAACTTTGTAACCTGTATGTCTTCTAAAGCCTATAGTTTTGAGTTTTAGGTTCAGGTTAAGCTAAAGCCTCTTAGTACCTTTCCAGAGAATGGAAAAATGTGACCCTATCTATGAGGACAGATAGAAAAAAAGGCAAGCAAGCAATGACCTTCACTCAGCAAAAAGAAAAACTCCTGTCTTTGAGATAGCATTTCTTAGCAACAAACCTAGACTTCTTCTGAGTAGCTTTTGACCTCCAGCCAAAAGTCTGTAGCCCCTAATCTTCAAGGATGAGCTAACCACCCCCACCTTCAATTGCAGCTGCATCCACACTTGGCAGGACTGGCCAAGCTTGAGCACCTAAGACTAACCAATTATCTTACTTTATAGTTTCCTCATCCAATCCTAAATTGCCAAGACTGCAGCTTCAAATCTCCCGCAATTTTTCTTTTAAAAACCTAAAGGCCTTTGTCTCCGGGTGCCACTCTTTGCTCATTGCGCAATGGTTAATAAACCTCTTGCTTTTGCAACGAGTCTTGGTCTGGGGGAGTTTCTGGGAAGGGCGCGATCTTGAACTCCTGAGCTGTGAGACCCCAGGTCTTACAATAAAAGCTCCGAAGACACCAAAAATAGAGAGAACATACATCAACACAACCATGATTATATATGAGAAACACATATAAATGTGGAAGAACAGAAAGGATTTCCTCTGAAATCTGAAACAAGTCAATGGTGCCCACTCTTTGCCCTCTTCTTCAATATAGTGCTCAAAGACGTGGCTAGAACAATAAGACAAAAGAAAGAAATAAAAGGTACATAAATAAAAAGTAAGAAAATTACCCTCATTTGTAGATGTCATGACCTTATATTACGAAGATTCTATACATTCCACCAGAAAACCTATAGATATGATAAACACTTTCACAAAGATCCAAAATATAAGGTGCTTCTTTACAGCATTGAAAGAGCCGCCTATTGTTTTAATCAGTTGTTCTATAAACAAAACAAAACAAAACAAAAACGTTGCCTGCAGTGTTATGGGTGAGGGATCCTGCCTCTTTTAATGCTCTGTAACCGTCACTTTGCTCATGCTACTACAGCAGTAATGGCATGAATGTCACGGGAATAACCAACTCACTTTTTGACTAGATTTATGTCCTGTTCCAAGAGGAGAAACGCCTATCTGGCACTGATATCAGGGTCTGTGGCTAAACAGTCCTAGGTCCTAAGGGAGAATTTAGTGTTAATATTCTGCAGAAGGATATAATGTTAGTCTAGTCTATACCCATAGTGTATCTCTCAACCCTCCTCAGAGAAATGTCTTTATGCAGTAGTTGGAAATTAACACAGAGATCAAAAACTAGTCAAGGTGCAGGGACAAAATTGTAAAAAGACTATGGTACTTGTATGGCCCCAGCTGTGGATGACAACAGACGAAATTGAAGATGTGCTCAGATAACTTGTCCTTGGACAAGGCAAGATTTTTTTTTTTAATTTTGAAATTATTTTAATTTACAAATAGAAAAGCTCATGGGGAAGGGGAAAGGAAAGAAAAGCACAAGGCACACAGGCAGCTTTTTACTTCATGAGCTCGTCACACTCATTTGTTCACTAGTTCCCACGATGAGAAAGCGCTCAGCCACCCACAGTAATGCTATTAATGGAAATATGGATCAGTTTCACAAAGAAGCCAATGAATCTCATGATGGCAAATACTATTTCTGTGGCCAAGGCAATCTTCTGGAATTCTTTTCTGTCAGGTTTGGTGCATCTTTTAACCAGCCGAATTGAGCCCTTTATGAACTGCTGACTTGGCTCAACAAATTGCATTATTTTGTCCATGACTTGTTTGAGGGATGGCAGGTTGAGAGAGAAGAGTGTCGTAGCTTAGGAGAAGACTGATCCCCAGAAGGGAAGATTACAGTGATAACAGATGTACTGAGCCATTTTCTGTGTTAGCCATTGATTTGGCAGGAAACCCAAGGAAAGGGATAAAAGAGATGGCCATTTCTGACAGGATGTAAATTCCCTGGGTATCATGGTATCCAAGAAAATATGGGAGAGTTTTCTCCTCCTCCAGGAGAAATGAGGCTGCAAGTACAGTTGATTTATTATAGAGATTTCCCTAGAGTAACATTGGGGAAATATACTCATGATGTCAGATTGTACTGACAATGATATTCCCTAGAGGTAGGCTACTTCCACGTGGGCAGGACTTGTGTTAGAAATGCAGAGGGAGGTCATGACACTGCCTTGACCTCCAGTAGAGGGGCCACTATTTTAATATCTCTGTGCCTTGAAAGGTGGCCTCACCTCCCACACTTCTGTCATGGTCTCCAAGCAATGACCACCAGTCCATAAATTCTGCTGAGGACATCACTTCTGCCTGCAGCCCCGTCCACTCATCCTCACACTCTTCCCATCACACCCACCACCTGGTGGTGACAGGACACAAAGCAGCAGTTACAAAGGCAATTTGGGAATAAGAACTTTTCACCCCTGCATTTAGCCTGTCATGCCCTTTGCCAACAAAAGCCCCACCATGGTTAACAAAAACTTTTTACCCCTGCACCCAGTCCTTCATGTCCTTTGCCCCTCACCCCCCAAAAAAAACACCATGAAGGAGCACCCATCCAGCCAAGCCACTTCCCCACTCCTCCTCTTCTAAAACAACCCCAAGGTCTAGGACATGGGAAACCATCATGCTTAAGTCCCCTCACCCACACACAGACACGAAGAGACACCAGGGAATGATGAAATTCTTTATGGAGAAGCAGGGGAGAGGAAGGCAGAGGGAAAGAGTGCGTGAATCCAGAAGGGGCAGCGAAGGAGTGCCTTCTGTGTCCTGTGCTCAGATGGTCTAGGCAAAGCAGAGCAATGCCTTGAGGCAGGCCTGGAGCCATGCATCCCTGCTGTGGAAAGAAGGAGGGTCAGTGGAACCAAAACAAGTCATGCAGGGGGAAAATGTTAGGATGGCAGGGACTCCATTCACCAGATCCATAGGACAAAGGTCATTCTCCCCTACCACACACCCAAACTGAGTTCCCATAATTCCCCATGCCCATGTATGAAGAAGGCACAGGTGACTTCAGAGCAACAGCAGGGCATAGGGAGGACAAGGATGCTGTTGGACTCTGGCTCCTCCCATGCCCGGGCAGGTTGGCTTGGGCAATTCTCTGAACACATCTCCCAAGAATTGCACAGGAAATAGGAACCCAGGAGTGCTGCTAGACCCCAGGGATGACTGCCACATTCTTAAAGCAATCCATGCCTTAAATGGAGTCAGCATGGTGACTGACCGAAAGGGAGGGGCACAGGAGGACTTTCTCTTCTGCAGAGTAAAGCAGGAGATGCGCAGAGAGAGGGGTTCTCTCCAGTTGCAAGCCAACTGTAGAGTATCAGTGAGGGCAGGTTTCTCATGTTCAGGAGACAACACCCATGAAGGAAACATGAGCAAAATGCTGAGAGGTAGAGTACATTCCAGTAGCACAGGCCATACCTGTCTGCACAGGTAGGGAAGGGTCTCCTTCCTTAGGATTAGAAGATGTTGTCTCCTGAAACCCTGTTGACCCCAGGACCAGGATAGCCTCAAGTGTACCCAGAAACTGGGTCACTTACCTTAATTGTTTCCTAGAGGGCAGCTTTCTGTCCAAGAAAAAAAAAAAGAAAACTTAAAAAATAAAAGAAAAAACATGATTCTGAAGACCCAGGGAATTCAGCCAGAACCCAAGGCCCCTCCATCAGCCAACATCTGCCCGCCCCTAAAGGACAAAGCTAGATGAGAGGCAGCCTGTTGTCCTGAGTGACTCGAGCCTTCCCTGCATGGGGGCAGGAGAAAATGCCAGCTTGCTTCCTACCACTCTGCTTGGGGATGAAGATGCTCTCTGCGTTGAGACCTTCAGCTCTTACAACGTTCTGAAAATCTTCCAGGGCCTCCTGGTTGAAGTCAGGGTCTCTGCCTATAGGTGAGGCCAGAAGGAAAATGGTGTTAGGGACAGAGCTGGAGAGCTGATAAAATTTCCTTCCCAGCACAGAGGATAAAGCAACTTTGGGGTGAAGAGGGAGACATTGTGCACCCATGTGGGGCCTTGATTTCAGAAGCCTATGGAGGGGACCGGTGAGAGAGGAGGACCAGAACACTGAATACACCCCCCATCCCATCTGACCTTGCCTTCAGCTCACTTAGTTTCTCTCAGGGCAGCTGAGAGCAGTGTGACCAGCCTCACGCTGGAGAGATATGTCACCCTTGGGTGTGAGGGCTCCATGCTGTCTCCCTGCTCTTTGTGGACAAGTACTTAGGCTAAAGGAGAGCTGGAGAGGCTCTGGGATTTCCATCTCTAGGCAAGAAGGACACTGATACCAGCTGTGATCGGAGCAGGACTTTATATGCTGGCTCCTGTGTCCACACTCATCCTTCTTCCAGCTGGAACCCCAACAGTGGCAAGGCACCTTTCACCCCATGTGTCTTTGGCCCATCTCACAGCCATGTGACTCACCCACAAGTTTTGCCATTCGGAAAGGATGCCCATGTATTCTGCCCTCGTGGCAGAAGATGAAGTGGTCCTCCACTGCAGATGGTATGATGTAGAGCACTTGTTTGCCCCCATCTGCAGAGGAACATGACACGGTCCTGAATAAGGCCCGGACCCTCCAGCAAGAATTCAAGGGTGGCCTGGCACCTCTCAACTCTGACTTCATCCCAGTTGCTCAGGGCTTTCTGACCCAGGTTCTTCACCATCCCAGAGCTTTGGTTACAAGAACCCTCCATTTTCATGGGAGCCATGCACATGAGAGATGGCCATGTCCCCAGACTTTTTGTCATACAGAAGGATCTGCCTCTGGGGTCAGATACAGTCTCCTTCCAACTTATACCATGAGGACAGCCAGAGCCCATGGGGCATTTCTGGTTAGTTGTCTTGTTTGGCTAGTCTGATGTCAACATTACAAGAAGCTAGAGTCATCAGAGAGGAGGAGAGCCCAACTGTGAAAATGCTTCCATAAAATCAGGCTGTAGCCAAGCTTGTAGGAAATTTTCTTAGTGATTGATGGAGGGTTACCCGGTACTTGGTGAGTGAGATCAACCTCTACAAGAACCCAGGCTGAGCTAACCACTGAGGAGCAAGCCAGTAAGCAGCACTCCTCCATGGCCACTGCATCACCTCTCTTCCCCTCACCTGTCAGAGTTCCTGCCGTGACTTCCTTTGATGTTGAAGAGTGATGTGGAAGTACAAACAAATAAGCCCTTTCCTCACCACAACAGTAATCCCAACTAAGAAAACAGTCAGTTCTCCGCTAGAGACAAATCTACCACACTCAATGTAGTGTTTAGCGTCAGCCGTTAGCATCGGTAAGGAAAAGTGCCTCCTGGGAGTGACCATGGGTATTAACAGGAATTGAAGGAAGAATGAGTTCTCAGGCCCTGGAGCACTCTAGGATGGCCACACTGGCCTCAAACATATCAAGGGAGTTTTGGTGCAGCCCTCACAGGCTCAGAGACTCACAGAAGGTGTATTTGTCGGGCTGATCTGTCTTCTCTAGGACAGTGCTCACCTCCCGGCATTGTCCTGCAACCCTGGAAGAGAGAAGGTCTGTGAGACACACTGCCCGGGTACACACCTCCCTTGCTGGCAGCATCAACAGTGCGGCCAACAGTTGCCTGTGTTCCAAGATGGTCAAGGAAGCGCAGGCTTCACGGAGTCCTGTTTGTGTTACCAGCAGGCCTCCTGAGTCACATGTTCCATCCCCTGGCTGCCACAGTGGCTCCATTGTGTGTCCTGCCACCTGCTGGGTGGCCCCCCCCCCCCGCCCCAACATCTTCTTGCTCACTCTCTTGGGGAGCCTGGGCTACTTGGTCTGTGGACATTGTCTGAAGCAAAACCCTCCCTCCTAACCCCTGTGTGGCTAGGTGGCTCCCATGGCTGACCCTCTGTCTCTGGAGATATTTAGGAACTAGAACCACATCACTGTCATCTGGACAAATGAGGGCAATCTTCAGTGAGTGGGATGGGCGGATGTGGAGGAGATGCGGAAGAACAAAGGGCAAGCTCCAGGGCACCCACCATGTCAGGAACCCACAAATGCCAGATTGCAGGAAGACAGCACAGGCACTGTTCTTCAGGGGCCACTAAGATGGCCGGAGCCAAGATGTGAGAAAAGACACAAAGCTGGAGGCCACACAGATGGGTGGTCACACAGGTGTGAGACCACACAGGTGAGAGTCTACACAGATGTGAGGTCAGACCAGTGAGTGGTCACCGAGGTGACAGAGCACACAGGTGAGAGGTCACACAGGTGATGGAGTACACAAATGGAAATCACTCAGGTGAAAGAGCACACAGGTGATGGAGTACACAGGTGAGAGTCTACACAAATGAGAGGTCACTCGGGTGATAGAGTACACAGATGGGGTCACACAGGTGACAGAGCACACAGATGGGGTCACACAGGTGAGAGGTCACACAGGTGACGGAGCACACAGATGGAAATCACACAGTGATAGAGGGAACAGGTGAGAGGTCACACAGGTGATAGAGCACACAGATGGTAGAGTACACGGATGGGGTCACACAGGTGACGGAGCACACAGGTGAGAAGTCACACAGGTGACGAAGCACACAGGTGAGAGGTTACACATGTGAGGGGTCACACAGGTGACGGAGCACACAGGTGAGAGGTCACACAGGTGACGGAGCACACAGGTTGGACTAGGCTGAGATTTCACAGTGTCTACGCAGAGCATGATAAGCTTTCTGTTTGGGTCCTGTGCACACTCTTGGCCCTTCTGAAATCCTGGTCTCTGCCTCTCTGCCTCTCGCCCAAGCAGAAATTTACTCCAGGGGTCA